AACCGACCTCCTCCTCCTCTCTCTCTCTCTCTCCCTTCTCCAACTTGCTCTTATAACGCGAAACATCCCATCCTATGCTTTGGCGGGACGAGAAGAGAATTATCCTTAATTCCTCGCAGTCGATAACACCATTTTGGAAGTTGGAGAATTCCTGTCAGACTTTGTTCCGCCTCCCCCTCTTTGTAGATTCGAGCTGTTCTATCCTTTGTTTCCACGAGAGACATTGTTGTCCAGGGGAAACAATATATCGACGTAAAATTTCCATTTAACAGAGTTAAACGGATCTCGAAAGGGGAGAGATTTAATCATTCATTTCTTCTTTCTTGTGCGTGGAACGAACATATATTTAAGATCGAAAGAACGATCCTTGATATTTCATATTTAATCGATCAAGTTTCGCGAATGGAACTTTGATTTTTCATGTAAATAACGCGCTAGGAAATTTTCCAACTTCGATCAGAAATCCATTTCCGGGAAATAGAGAAAACTGTCGAACTTATTTTTTCGTTTTATCACATTTGCCAAACCTTACCTTAAGTTAAAAATTAAATGAATAAATCCTTGGATTATTCTCGAACAAGAAAGGAAGAAATTTCAACTTCTTGAAATGTTAAATCCCCTCACTTACGAAAATATATTATACAACACGTATTGTCTCGATATCGCATCTCGATGAATTTCTTATTTATCGAGGCAGACAGAAAACTGTATAAAATCGATTCTCGCCAAGATAAAACTTTCGCGCTTCTTTCCTTCCTTTCCGTCTTCCTTTCTCTTTTTCCACCCCCATTACATTTCATCAAACGGTCACGAGCAAGAATAATAGAGCAAATAAATTTGTTCCGGGAGAATGAGCGCGCGGCTGTTGCAAATTGAAAAATGACAATGTGTTTTAATTAACGTGTCCGCGCGTTTCTCATTGATTCAACGGAATCGTCGCGTTTTATTTATCGAAATTAAAACGTGTCTTGTTTTAAATATCACGACTCCCCTCTCTCTCTCTCTCTCTCTCAAAGGAAACTCGGCTTCTCCGGAAGCGAATCAAAATCGAATTCGACACGGTTTCGGTGGTGGTTAGACGGAAGAGGGTAGTTTGCGGGGGTAGTTTCTGGCTGTTTCTGAATTGGCGAACTAATTGTAGGAGACTTGTCGTGGATGGGCGTGGATCTTCGAATTTAGCAGGTACTACAGAGCCTCTCCCTCGGCTTTTGTTTTACGGCTTTAATCTCTTATCCTGGAGGAGGAGGAGGAGGAGGAGGGAATTACTAGAAGAATTTTTCATCTCACCGACGAAAATTAAATTTATTAGGAAGATTCCGTTGGAGAAGATTAAAGAAGATAATTATTATTTTATTTTATTTTATTTTTTATTTCTAGCAGGTGTCTGTTTAAATTGTTTCGATCGTGCGTTCCATTCCTTTTAAATCGCGGTTTTTGGGGATGGAGGAAACTTAAGAATCGTTTAACTCGTAATTTTATTTCATCCGGAATTACCTTAGCACGTGAGTTAAGAGGAAATTAATCGCCAATCGTCTAGTCATCCAAGGAGAATCGAGGCTAAATTCGATCCTTTTCCATTATTCGTAATATTCGAGAACATTGGCTAATATTCTCCACGAATCGTATTATTATTATCATTCGATAAAACTTTTGTCGTACGTATAAATTATTCCGTTCATTCCTGCAAGATAAAAATTCTTTCTTGTCCTTCGAACAATGCGCTCTGCAAATCGGCCACTCGGCTCGATCGGCCAAGCCAATCGACGATCCCCGTGATTTCGACGAAGTCGAGAGCGGTCTTTGGAACGATTCTCTTCGAGACGATTATTCGAGGACGATTGTAGCAATTAGCGCTTAATTGCCGCTGTGGCTAGAACAGTCCTCGAGTCCTTTCTTTCCCCTTTCTTCTCAAACCAGGGTGGGCCCCTTGTCCCATGATTTTTCCCTCGATTTATCATGCACAATGTGGACGATTATCCAGGATTGTTCGTAAAAAGGGACGAGGGCACGCCGTTAATCCGACCACTTAAAATTTAATAAGCTTATCTCTCGTTCTCTTTCGTGGATGCAACGTTTGATTTTAATAATAATAATAATAATAATAATATCGCGTCGAAGAGATCGGCTCATCGTTCTAATCCCCCGTCTTCGAGCGAAGGATTTTTCGAATTTAAGCCGGGAATTTAATACCTTCCTTCGTGACGAAGAGATCGAATATCGAATTAATCGTAAATCACTTGAAATAATTTCGAGAGAGAAAAAGATCGTCGGCCTGTTTTATCCAAGATCAATGATGTATCGTTGAAGGGGTGAAATTCATTCGATTTTCCAATAAATAAATAACTATTATCGTTACATTCGTTTTGAAACTCGTATATACGTTTTGTACAACTATCAAACATCAGCGCGAATTTTGTTTCGATGTAGATTAATTAACTTCTATCAAATATTTCCACAAAAATATTTCTTTTTCTTTTTTTTCCAACTTTTTCTCTCTCTCTCTCTCTCTTTCTGGTATTATTTAATGATTGAACAAAAGAATTTAATCATTCGATTTATTCGTTTGTTTATTCTTGGAAACTTTGAAAGTTGAAGGGAAAAAAATAAATTGAATATTTTCGATATTGACGCAACGCAAAGCTGCGAATAAATTTGATAGTTGTTTACGAATCGAAGGGTGCTTAAATTAAGTAATTTAAGATCAACAGAAATTAACTTAGTTACTTAGTTAGAAAGAACGAAATATTCTTTTCTCACGAAAAGACGCTCGAAATATCTTACCAAGTTTTTCTCCCTTTTCTTCAAAGTTTTTCCCCCCACTAATTTCTTTCCTCCGAAATTTCATCGTTTTCGTGGATGCTCCGTGGAAAGGAGATCATGTTATTAGATCCAAAGGTACTTAGCAAAGTAATTCTTAGAATTGTTTGGTGATTTTTTTTTTAATTCGTATTGTATCATATATTTTGAGGAAAAATTAGGATCGACAGGTTTTCTTTAGAATTGTATTTTGTTCCAGAGCTGAATTCGACATCACCGTCGACAGGCGAGCTCGGTGAATTGGTGGAGGACGTGGAGAACGACGAATTAAACAAAGACACGGACGACGACGAAGATGCTGTCGAGGACATCCTTTATATGCGCGGCGCATCCTTCACGATACACTTGGATCCTCCGCCAGAAAATTCCACCACCAATTCCAGCAAAATTATCGAGGAAACTAGCCCATCCGTCGATCGAGTTGAACTGCGAGCCACGTCTCAAGTGTGTATAATAAAATTCTCAGTTTTCACAATTGAACGAACAAAAGAAAATGAAAGGACGCGGTAATTTCGAGAATTCGATTTAATAAATTAATTAATAGAGTGAATCGATGAATTGAAGAATATTAATATCGTATTAAATTATAAAATTAGTAAAATATTCTCTAGAATTCGATACATAACATTGTCACGATTGATAAAAAGGAAAAGTTTTATCAATCTGCTCGATTTGAAAAAAAAAAAAACGAATGATAAAATTTTATATTTCGAATATTGAAATAATAAATATTATCATTGGAAAATATACTCGTATCGTTTCATTTTAAATAATAAGCTAAAACAGGCAATTAAATACGTGTATATAAAAAAAACATTTTCAAATTTAACACATTGTGTATAAAAACACGTTCCATTTTTCACTTCTTCCACCCTCCAGTTTACAAATCGAACTCTCTGTTTTCGTTTATACGAATTATAAGTCACGAAAAAATTGTTTTTGTCTAAAAATAAATCGAAGCCATCTGTTTTTTGTTTTTTACAATCCAGGCCGGATTTCTTCGCATCTATCTCGAATGATCGATCTAACAGCCGTCGATGCGAGATTTATCCGGAAGCGTTCAAAACGCAATTTCACGAGTTGTTTGTCATTCCATCCGTGTCTCCCTTTTTCCTCATTTCTTTCTTCTTATTCTTTCCGCTTGTCCTTTCCTTCCCCACTTTTCTTTTTGCTCCATATTCTTTCTTTCTCTCATAAACGTGAAATATCCCGTGGCTCAAGGATTAAAAGAGATAATTGGAAAATTGTTATACAATTATTTACCGGATGCTGCCTCAATCTCGATCTTAACTCGCGTCTCAATGAATGCAATTCACTGTGAAAATTACTCGTTGTTCCATATAAGAATTTTTATCGACCTTCGGAATAATACAAAAAAAAAAAAATAATGGAAGCACGGAAAGAGCATAATATTATTCTCACAGAATTTTTAACACGGAGGCGTATAAAGATTTTAAGATCTCTCTTAATAACACTTGAGAATTAGATTACTATTTTTGTTCGTTTATAAGCTTTACAACCTGGATATCCGCAGTTAAAAGAATAATAAGAAACTTTATTCTAGGTGAAATTAGAAATTTTTTTCATAAACGTATCGCTGTGCAAAATGATATATTCTTAATAGGAGGGGATTCTTATATAATGTATGTAGAAGCAAGTATAAATAACGATATCTTTAAATATAAATAAAATATTTATGTAAAGTTAAATAGGTCAGTCACGTTTGATTAGTCGAATATGGATTCGTGAAATTTCGGGAAATTAGAACGCTCGATGAATCATTCTCAGTTCCAATATTTAAAATAGCCCCCAGTGAAATATATTCAAGCGAACTTGTCGAATCCTTTTTTCTTTATCTATTTATATACCGTTCCAATTTTTTTATTTAAAATATAATTGTATTATTGCAGTGCCAGTTCAAAGAAAAATAGAAAATAGAGGAATAAAATATTTCTTTCTTTAAAAATTGGAGATTTCTTCCTAAAAAAAAAAAAATCTCTTAAATCATATTTTTCACGTTTCTATCTGTTCACTATTCTATTTAATCTCATTTTACTCGTCAAAAAACGGAAAAAAAAAAAAAAAAAAAAGAACGTAGAAATAGGATGGTTTTAGAAAAACTCGTTTCCATGCAATCCGGACTTCGTCTAGCCTGATCTTCCGGATAAAAACGTGCAACAGGTCCTTCGAAAAATCAGTTTCTGATTCGCTTCTGCCATCTCTCGAATTTTCTCTCGACTATACTAACAATGGGGGGGGGGGGGAACTTTCTATATATTTTCTTTCAAATCTGCACCAACAGCACCAAATAATTTTCCTCTTTCTATTTCTCTTAAAAGAAATAGAACCGGTAACATCGGTGAAAATAATTTGACGTTTCGCTCTTTTTTTTTCAAAACATGGAAAGAATTGATTTCTCTTTTCCTTCGATTCCAAAGATAAAAGTATATCTAAGCTTTCTTCCATATTTCCTTTCGAATTTACATTTAGCGGGAAAAACAATTTTCTTTCCTCGATTCTCAAAAGCCACGTCAAAACGTTACTCTCTTATTTCTTTCTCTTAGAAACAAAGACACGGTAGATATATAGGAAACAACTTTCTATTTTAACTTCTTTCAAAGTTACAATACATCCTAGTATTAAAGGAACGAATATCAATACCAGGAAAGACAATTCTCCTCTTTCTGTCTGCATCAATGAAAAAAACATTTCGCTCTTTCCAAACTACAATATACCAAGAAAAACCTTCCTTTCTACCTCTCTCTAACTTTCTAATTCGCTCTCGAATCAAGGAAAAAAAAAAAAAAAAAACAACTATTCCCCTTTATCCTCAAATCGTCCACAACAATCCTCACGATCAAAAAAAAAAAAACCTTCTAATTCTCCTGCTTCGAAACCAGAATCCCTTTCGAAAACTCTTCTATCTAAAACCACGATCGTCGTTTCAGGGCCCGAATTTGGAACAAAAGCTGCCTTCCACGATGGAGAGCATAGCGAGCACGGAGCCAGCGTGCTCGTTAGACTGTGGCCCAGCCGGAAACTGTTACATCGAGCAGAGCCACGGCGACGACGTCGATCTGATCGACGACGACGACGACGACGCGGACGACGACGCGGGCGACGAGGCGGGGGGCGACGCCTCGATGGCCGTGGATCTCGAAGGGAACGACGTCGCACCGAGACGGAAGCAAGGGTCCTTCAGGCAACGGTGTCAATGCCCCCTGGGAAGGGGTGGCGATCGATGCCAGCTCGGTGAGAGTGATATTTCTCAATTTCGTTTTAAGTAGCTCGCGTGCCCTCCTCCTCCTCGCGTGTTTTTGTGCGTTGGAGAGGAGTGGAGAGGAGGGTGCACGGGAGAGAAAGTAGAGTAAGTCGGTCCCCTTGGACGGGAGCCAGTGTTCTTCTCGAGGCTCTCGAGAAATCGATCGATCTCGAGCTCCCGGGGGAGTACATTTAATTATTCGACCGGATCTTTTTGCCAGATGCTCGCGCGAAGGGATTGCAAAGGGCGGACTAATCGTATCTAGGCCGAGATTCTATTTCACTTTCCCTAGTTTTCTCCCTTTTCCTTTACGTATTCTGATTAATTGTTATATCCAATACAAAGATTTTTAGATTAGATATATCTCTTTTTTATCGTCAATTTTTTTTTCAATAAGCATCGTCGAAGCAACTCGAATTGTAAACGCTTTATGACGAAACGCTTTCTCGGGAAGTGGCGATGAGAAATCGCTCGTAGCGAAAGGATGAAATTCCGTGTTCCATGTTCCATTTTTCCTTCGTATCGTTTCAAATTTCCAAAATCATCGAGGCGTTAAGGCGCAGGCAATCGGTTTTGGGGAGGGCGGCCCAATCAGAGGCAGGGATTTACGGTGCCGATTTTGGCACGCGAATTGGAAATTCAGTTCACCGGGCCAGTGGGGTGTTCGTTCCCTGTTACAACACTTTGATCTTAGACCCATTACTACTAGCCGGTATCGCTCAAGTACGGGTGGCGACACAATTCGATTCAAGCCGGGACCATGGTGCAATTAGTGTTGCACCGTGGTAACGCAATTACACCTTCCTTCCCCTTCCTCGACGTTTAACTTTGTTCCGACGCCGATCCGAGAGAGATGATCGTTAAAAACGATTTTCCAAATGAATACCTTCCCTCTGTTGCTCTGGGAATTGTACTGTTTTTCTCTCTCTTTTTTTTTTTTTTTTTCCAGAAATTATATACTCGCATATTTTGGTTAACGCGGATTTAATTCGATCTTCTCTCTTCTTTTTCTTTCTATTTCCGCTCGAGTAGCTGTGCTCGATCGAAGGGTTTCGTTTCCGATCGAGGAAATAGCGGTTTCTCCCGGTGAATTTTTTTATTCGTTGTTTGTAGTGGAAATCGTTGGGTGAATTTTCGACGATTCGAAATTATTCGCATCTCGTTAATGTTATGAGGATTTGATTCTATTTTCATTGGATTTCTTTTTTACTTCTTCTTCTTCTTCTTCTTCTTTTTCCGCAGTTTTAAATTTGATTGCAGTTTATTTGATTGGAGTGCTTTTTAGCGGTTTGAAGATTTTTTCTTTCTCTTTTTTCATTTGTTTGGTCGAATTTTTTTGTGTATCAAATCGATGAGGTATTCGATCGGAGAATTGGTGATTTTTTTTTTTTATCTTCTTCTTCGATTTTTATATTCGAATTATTTTCAGCTCGGTGATGAAATTGTTGAAAATTGTTGGCCGAGCTTTCGATGATTCATCGAAATTCAGTGAATACGATTCAGTATCTTTTAGAATTAATATTTAAAATTTTCCCTTTTCTCGATCATGATATCGATTCGATTCCTTCACTTTAAATGGAAATTGTAAACTTGTTCGATAATAAAGAAAAAAAAAAAAAAAGAATGTTTAACTACAATTTTTATCTTAAATTCTTTTATCCCGGAAATATCTGGATCCCAGTTTTCGCAGGTAATACATTTTTATTGGCAATAATTCATTCGAAATTTATGATTTAATCCGGTATTTCTTCGTTAAAATTGATTTGATTTACGAGAAACGATTTGATTCAAGACAACTTTACCCAAATTACTCTTCTTTTATGTCGATTCCAGCTTCACGAACGATCCATAGACTTTGCGTTTACGAAAAATATCGATGCCATAGCGTCGAACAATATTTTCGCTTTTGCCGAGATACGACTGATTTTTTTTTCTCCCACTCAATTCCGGTCGAAAGTCCACGATTGGGTTCCATAGCATCGCATCGATACCGTGATAAACAGTTTTATTTCATCGTTATTCCGTCCAGTATATATACGCTTTTATTTTTCATGCTGACTAAAATAAATGGCAATGCAGATTCCTAGATAGGATCATGTACGTATAAATTTATACAGTTTGCATAGAAATTTTTAGAGACGGGGAGGGGAGGGAGGGAATAAAAGTAAAAAAAAAAAAAAAAAAAATAATCAGATACATATTCGAGCATTTGCTCTCTAAATTTAAACCATTTGTTGGTTTATCGCCTCGAGCAAATTAAAGCATAGGAATAGCATAATAAATCGACACAACTTTTTATCGAAGTTTTAACAAAGAATATTTCAAAAAAAAGGAATAATTCGAAAATCTTTATTCCACGTTTTAATCACCTCTCGATTCGATACGCGTTGCAAAAAAAAAAAAAATATTTAAAAAGGGATTTAGATGTAATTAAAAACAAAAAAAATGATTGGAAATTTTAACGCAACGTATTGCTCTTGCCATGATTTGTCTTTATAGTAATAACGAGTATTCATCACCGAACAATTTATCGTTTTGAACCGAAACAAATGGCCGGTTGAATTTCCAGTGAATCCTAGTTTGCTTATCATTTATTTATTTTCCGCGACGTTTATCGCCAAGCTATACGAGATAAACGAAAGAGAACGTATCGGCCAAGTCGGGCGAAAGCCGGATGAAGCTTGAAAGCACGATAATCGATGAGGAGAGGTGAGCGAATTCTTGCCATTCTCTCTGGCCCGGAACAACCCGCCAACATAAGCAGATGATCCCTCGATTCAACCTTCAATTTGTGTTTTCCCCGATGCATGAATCGACATAGCGAGTGAGTCGTAAAATAAAATGTAATAATAAATAATATCGACGAGAAAATATTTTGTACGAAAGACGGGGAGATATAAATAATTGATGTTATCAATTAGATTCGAAGATGAAGTATATGAAATTTCGTTTTTGAAATTGAATCATAGTTTAGCGTGGATTAAAGATCAACTCATTTTTTATATTTTTACTCGATTCGTTTCCCTGTAAAACGACTCCTCTACGACAAATGTAACAACATATTTTCTCTGAGCGTATGATAATTCAACGGTTTTCTTTCGTCTTGTAATATTGATTTAATGAATCGTGTTAAAAAAAATAATATATATATATATATGATTCCATTTAGAAAGATAAAGTTGATATGCTCTTTATGTTGAAAATACATTTAGAAAAGAAAATAAAAGTATCGAGTTACGACTTGTTTTTTTTTTTTTATATCATACGACTTTCATCTTCAACGTTTCCTTTTATATACGATATGATATTTTTTGAAACCGTTCTGTCATTCACTCTGTGTATAGTATACGACCAATCTTCTATGATTTTGGTGATATTTTTTCAACGAAAAGAATAATAGTTAAAATATATATATTCTTGTGGGGCATGTACACGAATAGTCTTGATGTTCACTGTGAATCACGTCAAACGAGATTTATTTATCGGCTCTTTGGAACCGCCAGGGGCACAATTTCTCAGCAATGACGATCGATAAGCTGACGAACTAACGGCTATCGTCACCGTATGAAGATTTGTGAGTTTTCCTGCCGTTTATATCGAGCGTGGAAATTGTTTTTTTTTTTTTTAGTTGACGTATGGTTTAATCGATATATCCAGAGTATCTTCTACTCTTATATTAATTTATATTATAAATTGCTTCATTTCGGTGTGCAATTTTATATTTGATTTTCGATCTTTAATTTTTCATTTTTAATCCCTGTCCCGTTTTCTTTGTTTCCTATAAAGATATAAATCAAGCGAACTTTGATCTCTTTCTTTCTTTCTTCTTTGTACAATATAGAACTTTTATTTTATATATTATTTCGTTTTTAAACCGTTTGATAATAGAGTAATAGTCGAATGAAGCGTTAATCAAAATATTTTTATCCGTTTGATATTGTAACGAGTAAAATCATGATATTCAAATATAAAAAAAAAAAAATTCCACATTTTTTTCCCCTCTCAAGTGGTTAAAAAACACGTTCCACAATTTTTTTTTTTTTCGATGATCCACCTTTCAAAAAAGTAACTCTCCCTATAAAAATTCGTTTGATGGTTTAAAAATCGGAGAATTCGTAAAAAAAAAAAAAAAATCCCCTCGTTGATGTATAGTTTTCTAAAATCTTTTGAAATACCTCTCTCGATCGCGTAATTTTAATTTCACCCTTGGAAAAAAAAAAACTTGATTCAAACAACAATAAAATTGGATCTAAAATACTCACAACACTCGCTAACGAACTGTCTCGTTAAGAAATACCGCCATTTTATTCCATTTTTTTTTCTTTTCTTCTTTTTTTTTCCATTCATCTCAACACGTGAATACATACATGCAACTGTTCGAATCATCTAATATCAACAAACGAAACGAAGTTTGCCTGCCTTTATTGGCTTATTCCGAGCATCGAGCTATCTCTCTCTCTCTCTCTCTCTTCCAGAAATTCGAAATCACGGAACAAGGCCGTATGGATCCCTTGGCGATCCCTTGAACAGCTGAATTCTCTCGAGGCCCCAAGGCTGATGGAGTTGGCCCCAGGATTTAATGAAACTACAATTTATTTGCGTTAAACTGTTGTAACGACTATGAAACTCCTACGGCAAATATTTGACAAACATTAGTTCCAACTTTTACCTCCCCCTCCCCATGCACTCTCCGCTTATAATCGTTGAGAGCGACAATAAATCACGAGGCCAGGCTTGCTACGGCTACTTTCGAGAAAACTCGTTTCTTGTTATTGTAATTAAAAAGAGGATAGAGAAGGTGTTAATTGTTCGAACAGATACGGAATTCGAATTCGAATTTTCGAACTCTTTGCACTCTGATGAAGCGACATTGTTAGATAAGCAAATACCTCTGTTTGTCACTGTTGCAGCGTGTATGTGTTTCAATCTTCCACAGAGGTTCCTGGACTAGTTCATAGTAAAAATCAGTCAGAGTTGCTGGTCATATTAA